ACTACGTGAAAGTTTACCAGGAACTTGTACCTTAGAATCAAGAACCGAGAGCTAAGAAGGCAATTTTTTTATTACTAGCTGGATATTGAATAATAATAAGCCGCGCGAGAGTTGCGGTTTGCGTTACGGCTAGAACTGTGAGTGATTGTTTTCGTATAGTGTCTTAAGGAGTTCTGCTAATAGTGCCACCGGTTAAAACAGCTGACTGATTTGACAAAAATTTATAGTTGTAGCATTGCTGTGCATATATGTGTATGTCGTCAAATTTCTATGAGAAACCATAGTTTCGTTCACGTATAGGAAGAAACAAGCACCACTAAATTTTAGGGTATATGCAAGCAAATTAGAATAAGGCAACAGTAGGGGATAGACACTTAAGTCAAATGGATTTGAATGAACCAATAAGATGGCTTGGCATAACACATGGGTGTTGTTCATTATCTTCGTTGCAAGTTTCACTCAGATGTTTTAATACCAGTAATACGACAACAGTAAAAAATAGACACTTCTAGGTGAAAAGTGGCATTTACTTCAAAAAAGTGTATTTATAAGACATGTAATAAAACCGAATTGTACAGGGCTTATATCTCAAATCTGGTGTAGAAACTGATCCTATTTTCTCATAGGAGTGTCTGTAGACATACCAAACCAATGTTGATGCAAAAAATCTAATCCATTTACTATTATAATACGTTGTTTTAGATGGACCCAGAGTCCTTCAATAGAATTTGTATGAGTTCCATTTATACGTGATCTACTGATTCAGAAGTATGATTGATTTTATGATGAATATAGTCTTTTGGCAAAGTAAGTACCAACAGACAAATAATCTTGAACGCACCAACGACATGATAAAGGAGATTTTTGCATATAAAATACATATATTCATGAAAATTATGAATTAAAATGCATGACACTGTCGTGCGCGACAAAATACTTAGTTTTAGATTGGAGTAATAATAAAGTAACTTAACCGCATTCTGTGCATGGAGTGATGTAGGTCTTCTAAACCCAACAATAACCGTAGTCTTTTCTTAACCTAACCCTAACTGCGAAATATCCGTAAACTAACCATAATCTAACTGAAAGCAACCCTAACGTCTCCTCTATTAGGTTAAACTAACCCTTAACCTAAAACTCAACTTTATTTTCCTCCAACCGAAGCTGAAACATCCCAGATATCCCACTTACCAGATTTAATTAACTGTCTCACTGAACATTTCAAAGCCATCGGTGTGGTCGCACTCCACCGGTACTAACGGGTGCTTAAAGTTCAACCTAGCCCTGCGGGGAATAAAATAGGCTATTAGGCTTAGTTTGTTGACCTCTTTAAAGCCTGAACGTAGATGGTCTCAATATATTCCATTGCGAAATGATGCTAGGTTCTTCTCTTCCCGGCTGATCAAGGTCCTTTGGAATGTAATATAAAGCTCCGTATGCTAAATGCATAAACATGTGTGGATTCGAATTATTGTCTTGGGTTTATTAGATTCGATTTTACGTAGTGTAAACATTTAAACTCCCTAAGCTCTGTTATAACCATGCATAGAGTGTACGGCACTCGCTAACACGTTTGTAAGCTGGTTTAAGTGTCTTCAATTTCACAAGAGCCATGGCTTTTAACTAAAGTGATTAACTTGTAAAATATTCACCTTCTTATTGTATTTATTTAGAATCATTATTTCTACAAAATGGAATCAAAAGACAATGTGAGTTCTAGTTTCATGCTAATGAATATTCTACTGTTTCTGCTAGACCCCTAAGCCTTTTGTGTTTCCAGTTATGAAAAAAACAATTGAGGATTTGTTTACAAAGTCGAAAATCACAAAAGATGATATTGAAGCATTTCAAGATAAATACTGGGAACAACTTGTTCCAAATTTTAGTCAAGCATTAAAACTTCTCGATATACATGGAGTGCCGAGACACAATATTCTATGGGTATGTTCTATACACATTCTCGTTTACCAGTCAAACTTATACATTGTAGAGTATAAACGATCGCCTTATGGATGCTATCAAGGCTAGAGTTGATTCAAAACCTGATGACTGTGATCAAAGAAAGTGTCAGAAACTATGGCAGAAACTCATCAAAACTGGTATTGTATACATTCATCATCCATATATGCGTTCTTTAATTATGCAGGTAAGCTAGCTAGTTGTTGTGAAAAATTACCTTCGAGAGGAAGTCACAGGTTCAGTAGGAGATATCTTTTCCTCAACGATTTCATTCTCAATAGTTGTACAACCTCAGTTTTCCTGCATTTGTCCTACAAGTTAGCATAGCTATAATTATTATTCAGCTGGACATAAAAACAAAGGTGAAATTGAGTGAAACTAATAATTATTCAGCATGATGTGAGAAAAATATACTGAAAGTTTTCTTTTCTTTCAGACATTTATTTGCTACTATCCCTGTACGTTCCGAGTGGAACATGGGGCTTCAGCAACATTTCACCCTGTTCTCTGCAGTCCCCTTTAGCTGGCCATAGGCTCTCATCCACTTACCCTATTTCTTTCATGTCACCCTCAGACGCTCAACTCGCCGCTCACCGTTCAGGTTCCACTACAGGGCTTGGCGTGGGATTTCATTCAACGGTCTTCTCAGCATGTGTCCGATCCATTTCCATTTTCTGCTGCATATTTGTTGGGTAATACGTTCTTGTTTGCTTCGTTGCCAGAGTTCCTTTGTTGCTTATGCTTTCTGACCGGCCATCTGATTTTCAGTATGAAGCAAAGACAGCTGCTGATGAAAGTTTGAAACCTTTTCAAAGTGCTTTTCGTGATGCGCTAAGCCTCTGATCCATATTGTGACAGTGTATTTCAGCGTTCATTCGCGTAGTCTTTGAACGTCTTGCAGTTCAAATCAAGCAAGGTGATTTAATTCGTCATACTTCTGAGATAAATTAGAGACTTGAGAATGAAAATAAAATTGTTTTCAAGGAGTATGCAAGTAGCAGATGAAACGAAATTGTGAGTATACTTCTCTCCTAGGGTGGCTGCTCTCAATATACATAGCAATCTAGGGACTACGAGGAATTAGTACTCTAGCGTTTTTATTTTATTAAAAACTTAATACCTAACGAGCACCAAAACTTCATAGTTTGTGCGATGGCATATATATATACATCATTCACTTTTAGCTACTGCATGTTTCGGACAGTGTGATTAAGTTCGATGAGAGCGAGGAGTGGTCAGTCAAAGTTTGGTGTCAATTTGTATGACTTGGCTGGGATCTTGGAAATGTTAGAAATCAGTGGTTAAAAGCACTTTTTAATATGCCTTGCGGTCTTTCATTCTGTCATAAATGCATTGTGCCGTTGTTGTATTCCAGATTCTGAATACCATTCTGTCCTGTGATCTTCTAACATCACACACTGCTTTTTCAGTAGTCAGTCAGTTATTCATAGTAAATCTGCAGAAACATGCAATATGCATACTTATTTATAGGTTGTTTCCCAGGTCAATTATTTTAAACAATTTCAATTGGGGTATGTGAAATACTGTACGTCGTGTTGATATCAGGTGGTCAATCTACAATTTCTAACAAGACTCACACTATCAGTTGATGATTTCGATATCTTTTTATCCCTTGCTTTGATCACTTTTTATGTTTTCCAACCTTTCATTTCTTGTGTTAGTACCTTTTATTTTTTGTCTCTTAGTAAATGAGTATGTTATGCAATTAGAACAACTTAAGAAAACACCACATAAATTCCATTCTCATCTTGAGCTAAATATCTCTGTTATTACGAAGTAGTAATATATATATATATATATATATATATGTAAACCAATCTTCCTAGCTTTTTTCGTGGTGTCTGTCAGCGCTGACCACTGTTCTCATTTTCGTTCAGTTTCATCATAAATGTGCTAATGAAATTGACCCTAACTGATTTTAGCGACTTGAAGATTGATTTTTTCTTACCGGGCGACAGTCTTGTCGATTTAAAGTATGCAGATGACATTTTCGACCTCCATCAGGACGCTGATAAAATACAGTCTTCGAAACATCGTGATTGGAAATCTATGGATTTTCGGCATGTGATTTGGTTCTGTCAAATGTAAAATGATCCTACAGGAATGGTCTACATTGAATCATAGTGTAAAGATAAGAAGTGAAGTGGTAGAGTGTGTTGGACACTTCTCTTATATGGGAGGTTGTGTCAGCCCCAACGGACGACTGATTGTTGACGGAATCTTAGCGTGGATATGAAACTGTTATATGGCATTTGTCAACTTACGCCATCTCTCGTATAGACGTGATATTCGGCTGTCTATCGATCAAAAGGTGTATATACTGTGCAGCAGTTCTCTTTGTTCTTTATGGATATGAGACATAGCTATTACAAGTGGAAGATATGAAAACGTTATCTGTCTTTAACCAGAGATGTTTGCACTCCATCTCTCATGTTAAGTGGTATAATAAGGTGATTAATATAGGTTAGACATAGTGTTTTGTAAGGAAGATAATTCAGTCGATCATATTATGACGCTTCGTTGATTGAAATGGCTACGACATGTATTCCGCGTGCCGAACCACCGCCTTCATTGAAAAGTAATGTTAGCTGACATTGGGTTAGGTCGGAAAGAAGTTAGTGGTAGTCAAACCAAAACCCACCGTCAGTCCAGGAAGACCTGCACATAGTCGGTTTGAGCCAGCCATGTAGGCAGGTGTAAGCTGCCTAGTTGGTGTCCTCAGAATACTAGGAATCAATGACTAAGGACTATTGGTGATATGGATCAAAACCTTTTTCAATGACACTCTCTGTGATTTCCCATACCCATTAAAATGTCTTAGTTTTCCATCTTACTATTCTTTCCTCCTCACATTTCTGTTTATCATAGTCCTTTTGAATTTCTTTATTTTTTCCCTCTGTCTCTTTTGTCTACCTTTGTGTGTCACTCAGAGGATGTTCAATATTTATAGGATTATTTTAATGAAAGAAATTGTTATCATATCGATGATATACTACTTATCTTTTCTCTCTTTTGCTTAGGTTCTTGGCAAAATGAATTCAATTAAAGAAAGACATGTTAATTTAATTGTTGACAATAAATATTTGTATGATGATGCACCACTACCCGTTCTGCGTCATATTTGGGTCGCGCATCCTCACAAGTAAGTCATCAGCATTCTATTATATATATATATATATATAAATGCATTATGTTAGCGTCCTCACCTAGAAGGACTACATCATCTGCATATTCTAAGTCAACGAGATCACTCCTTGGTAACAAGTCAATCCCTGTGTCGCTGAAGTGAGTTAGGGTCAAGTCCATTAGTACATCTATGATGAAAGTGAATAGTGAGCACCCCCGTCGGACACCACTAGTTGTCACCAGTTCAGATGACAACTCACCGTAAGCTCTCACCTGGCTGCATGAATTCGAGTAGAGTGTTTTGACCAGTGCAATGTGTTTCCTCGGCACTCCCTTTACAGCCAAACATCGCCAGAGTACCTCTTGGTCGACAGAATTGAATGCTGCCTTTAGGTCGAGAAATATGACGACCTGTGACTCATCCGTGTTGCCCGTAGTTGGAATGATGCTGCCTAACCAGATCAGTGAAAGAAGTGCTGGTTGTTACTAGTAGCGGGGTATCTTCATCACCCCTATCTTTTCTATTTTGCTTTTGAGGTCTTATCTTTTCTGCTTCTTCCTTCAACTTGTTGGTTTTCGCCTGTAGGTCTTCCAATTAATGTGACATTAATATTATTTTATTCCGCTTTTCTCTTTATTCTACTGCATTATTGTTCTTTTTCAATTCAGTTGACGTTTTTGTTTAGTTGCTTAGATAGAAGCCGATAAAACCGGCTTCCTCTTTTTTTGTTCCTGTAAAAAATACCTCTCCCCTTGTTTTTTTTATCTTGTAATAGATTTCAAGAGGAATTGGATAAAGTTGTGGCAACATTTCAGTCCACCTGGTCTTCTGCTATTTTAGATGCTCTTTCAATGTCAATTATGTCAACGGCAACGACTACAGCTGATCTTGTCCCCATCTTGTATTGGCCACCACGTCGGCGTAGACGTGATCCATCAATCATAAGAATTGTTGAAATGATTGGAGAAGGTCAAGTCTTATATGATAAGGTAATTGACATATATATAAATATATCCGGGGTTCGACACACTTAGTTGGTAGTAGGCCCAATAAGAAGTAAAGGTTGGGCGTGAGTGACTGGCTATCCCACTTCCTAAAAAATAAACAGGATCACTATTGGAACTTCTAAGCCCAAGCTTGAAGCTCCATATTCCACTCGGGAAGCGAAGGAATACAATGAAGGGAAGAAATATTCATTCTTCGTTACTACGACTCATTGAATATCCATACGTATATGTATTCGTTGGCTCTTTCATTCTAATCATCTGTTAACATCCCTTGTTCACCCGTTTGCGTTCGCGACCCAAACATAATACTTCAATCCTTGATCTTTTGAGTGTTTTAGCAGCGCTTGTGTTGTTTCTACAGGCTGAGATTGCTAACGCCACACCCGTCCAACCTTCCCTTTTTACAGGGTTTATTTACCGGTTAGGTGAATCCGTTGGTCATGGATGGAAGGAACCCTAGACCCACTTGTGGCATGACTAGTGAGCATTTTCCTGCTAAACCACCGGTAACGAAGCAATCCTTAGTTAGTATTAAATGATATTGGTAAGTAGAAGAACAAATATATGGTTATTAGAATGGAACATATAGAGGCTTCTATTTTGTGAAGTTACCTGATATAATGATTATATCCAATGCACGTTCTTGTTCGGTATAAGCTGCTTGCATCTCATGGGATGTAACTCACTTTTTACGCTCTACAGAGTTGTGTTTGTAAGAATATGGGCTGAGCAGAACTGTGTAAACTGTAAATTCATGAATTTGATTTAAGCTGCTACTGTGGTGAGTGCTACTTATAATCTGATATAAGTAGTATATCAGAAACGAAGTAACAATATGTTTGGCACACTGGAAAGAGCAATCAAAGAAGAGAACCATGAGAAGAATGTTGCCATATGATGCAGAATCCAAGAAGCTATCGAATGAGACGATATTCGACCAATTCGTCAAGGATGTGGTAAAGATGTGCAAATGGCCGGTCGAGAATATGGTATTCCAAATTTAGCTATGTACCATACGTTTCACCAAATAAACATTCCTTTCAGTCTCCTCAGTCTTGTCTTCTTTACACTACCAATTCATTTAAGTTGCTAGCTAGAAGTCGATGGGTTTGAACTGACTCAGCTCTCTGAGCTGAGTGTAACCGGGTAAAAGCCGATGATGAGCTTGGTTGTAAACGGGCGAAATAGCCGTCTGATGTTTAGATCACTTCGACCTGCCTTGCTTGTAAGTGCTACGAGTATACAACTACTCGTCTCAATCAATCAGTAGTATATCGTTTTACACGATTATGCTCACATTCTTGATCAGTATTTATAGTATCAAGTAGATGATATATTGTGATTTAAATAATTTTGAAGTTCAGAGGAAGCTGTGGTGAAACTTCACCTCCTCCTCCTCCTCCTCGAACTGTGTATTTGGCTTTAGAGCATACAGCGTAGGCGCGTATTCTTATCGTTTAGTCGAGGTGTAGCTCTTATGAGCACTGGTGTATCTGGTCGCCAGTAGTGATATAAGTATGTTTGTGTATCTCATTTTCACACGAGATACATTCATGCATTGGAAAATTCGAAGGGGAAATAGTTGATCATGTAGGTGTTTGTGTTTGTTTTTAGCTTCATTTCATCCTACAGTTTGGGCATCGACAGACAAATCTTTCTTAAAAGCGACTGTGTTCTTTGAGTTGGCTGGTTGTCCTCCGTCGGGACAATACCGCTTCAGCGCAAGCATCAATATGAAGTGTGTAGTTATTTGCATTCTCTATGAATATGGCATATAATTGTATTAGTTGATAACTTTCATCCATAGTAATAGAGTTTATCTGTTAATCGCTGAGTACCGGGCTCCTGGGGATTCTTTGCCATTACTGGTGTTTCTGCTGTTTAAAATTCCTATGTTACCACAGTCAAATTAGTCTCCATAGTTATCTACACTCGTCTTACTTTACTTTTACTTTACTTCGGCTATCTCCTACGGGAGGATGAGCCGGCTTCATGAACATCTCGAATCATCGCTGCCCAGGCGCGGCGATCTGATGAAGAGAGTTCATGAAGTTTCATGGGAATTTGGTACGAGTGATGTCCCCAGAATCGCTCGGCCTTTTGTTTGAGAGTGCAGCTCTAGCCTTTACACAACCAAGTGTGACATACAAGGCAGTAGGAGTGGAGTAGGGAGTCCACTATCCATTGGCAGCCGGTGACCGGAGTTCGGTTCATAGGCCTTTTTGAATGGGGCTAGACATCCAGGACATCCAACAATCCCTTTGTCCATACGTCTGCCGGTGAGCTCCAGTGAGCTTCATACGCCAGTCGTTGGAGGTTTGGAATCAGGGTTTAGCCATCTCCCCTAGACTGTCATCCAATGGACAGTCAACCCGGTGAAGAGCGCCGGGCATCCGCTTTCGCCCTCTCACTTTGGTGAGAAACACCTCCGCCACGTGAAGGCAGTGAGTAGGACTTCCTTAGGAAAGGCTATGTAAGACGCCCGGTCATATGGGAGCATTTCAAGAGGTGTGCGGAGGGGTGGCCAACCCGCAGCGCAAGGCACCCCCCCCGACCACCCTGAGGCTTTGGATATGAAACAAAACATGTCATGTCTTTTCATAGGTAGTTTATACTGTTGTACTCTGAATCGAAGGAGGCTGGGTGGGGTTGGGACTTTTACTTTGTAAATTGTATTGGTCCTGTCTTCTGTTTCACCCTGTGAATCCTTTGGTTTGCAGAGTGTTAAATGGGGGGATTGTGCTGTTTCTTTTTCAAATGGTTTCTCTAGAATAGTTGTTGCATAGATTTTGTTTTGCTAGTTTTGAACCATTTAAAGTGTATGTTGCTGTGTGACATCATCAAACGGCACCATCATCATCATCCACTTGAATGTTTTTGATCTTCTGTAAAAATTGATTTGGTGGCGAAGTGATAGATTAGCTGCATGATCGATTCTGTTAGATATTTTGTTTTTCTGAAAAGTTTTTTCACCAGATTTATATATTTAGGTGTTTCTAGGAACGAACAATAAACTAGGTTATTTGGGAATTTTAAAACCTGTAAACCAATTAGGGTAAATTGGATGTCATTATTGCTGCTTAGTATTGCGATTAACTCACCAGAATTTATTATTATTATTATTATTAATATTAAGATACAAACTTAGTACATTATGGATACCAAGAGATGTGTCACCGAAAATCTTATACGTTGTAAGAGGGCTTAGACGCTCACACTGAAGCGCGTATGAGTATCTTAAAAGGCCAGCCCCTCTGAGCATTTGACTTGTCAGAAACACGTCTGCCATATGAAGCCATTGAAATAAGACTTACGTGACATAGGCTATGAAGGTATGTGGTCACATGGCAGCATTTTGAGAGAAGGACCGTAGTCTCATCGTCTTTGGTGGTCATACCAGGGAAGAAGGGAATCGATAGATAGATGTGTTTATCAGGTAGGTAGCAACAAGTGGATTTGAAATTATCATCCGTTATACATACAATTAAAGAACTGTTAACAGCTGACAGTAAACAAAATTTATTACTCACCGTACTATCAGCATAATAAAAAAGAAGTCTGTTGACAATTATTTGCATTGTTTGACCCAGCGTTTAGAAATATAATTCATGTGAAGATGTTGTAGCATCACACAGAACTAGAATAACACTCATTTAATGCAATATTTAAGTGACTTGTAGGAAATATTACGTCACTTAGTTGGAGAATTATTGTAAATCAGGAAGTACTGCGCAGCTGCTTCGTCCTTGTTTGGGACTCTTCATCAGTACGAGCCTGTGACGTAACCGCTAGAGGTAGAACCTGTGACCTTCATGTTCCATTCAATCACTGGGATGGAATCCAGTAGCCGATGAATTTTATACTTCCTGTTAATTTACGATGTGTAGCGCAACCTCCAACTAATGTCATTGGTCTGCGTGTTTGTCCTTACGTCCAACTTAGTGAACTCCGCTGATGACGACTTCCCACTGAAATTTCAGCCAACTTTATCTTACAGTCATTCACTGGTGTGGACTAAATAATTTTCAAGTGTTAGTTCTCAGGGATTCGATTGACATGAGGTTGAAATTCATACTGCATTGGATTTCGTCCCAATGGCTGAATAGTTGAAGGGCAGACTGTGTAACTTGAAGGTTGTGGTTGCGATCCTTGGTGGGTGCATACACTGGCGAAGTGTCCTAAACTAGGGCAAAACAGCTTCCAGTACTCCTTCAGTTTCAATGGTTCTTTAAATGAAGCGAGTTGGCAATGTTATATATATATATATATATATATATATATATACATATATACATATATATATAATTCGCTCGTTCTGTTTTCAGTTCACTTGCATTTTTGGTTTTCTTTGGTTTAGACTATAAGTATTCTACGGGAAGAATGTACAAAACATGAGAAATCAGCATTTTCACTTTTGGAACAACAAATCAAAGGGGTTACCACCGGCAACAGTTCAGTAGATGAAACAGATGAACCGTCGGCTAAACGAAGCAGACATCGTACGTCGAGTAGAGAGAAACCTCCAGAAACACAGTGTCCCAATAGTAATAGTAATCCATCTATCCCGTATATCCCACTAGCTTTTATGCCAAATCAGCCGTCAGTTGCTTCAGCTACCTTATGTACATTACGTTTCGATTTATTGATGAGTTTAAATGAGGCTAAGATAGATAGGCTATGCGTTCCGGATAGGATACATCGTTTTGTGTGGTGTTTAGATGCATGTGTACGGAATCGTAGAATCGATCAAAGACATGCTAGTGAATTAGCTTATCATTTACAATTGCAACGTCGTCGATGGGCAAAAGAGGCAGCAGCAGCAGCGGCTAATGAGAAACAAGAGGTGGTTCACGAAGAATCTGAACGCTGTCGGGGAAAAAATGCCAAAAGTTCCAAAAGCGGTCGTAAACGATCTCCTTCAAATGCTGCTGCAGAAAAGAATTGTGATGCAAATGATACAGGTGGTAGATTATGTGATGCAAATTTGTTAGAAAGGTAAGCGAGACTTACTTTTTGTCCACGTATGTGTTGTATTTTCCCTCCAATTGACTCAGTAGTTAAGCGTCTCTTGTATCCCTTTCTTGCTTCCATTGTCTGCGAATCCGGTGGACTGCATTGAAATATCATGTAGAACTGCGATACACCACTGTCGCTTGTTTGTCACTCGTAGGTCTTTATTCTTGGTTAGGCTATACGGTATTATTCTTTGCTAATGTCATGCGTTTAGTCCTTGGGTCGGTGCAGGCTGAATTCTATCAGTCTTTGAGGTCTCTGACTGTAGCACTGGGTGACTCGGCTTCCAATCTCAGAAGGGATGCGTGTCGCTTCTAGAATGGAGATACGCTTGCCGTGCTGACCGGTGAATGTCAACAAGCACGAAATCCGGGGCCAAGGTTCTAAGTCGATACCTGACTTTGCCACTGAACTCATTTTCCCATCCCACTGATTATAGCTGTCACTAACTCACCTTTTGTGAGAATGTGACATCAATATATATATATATATCGATTTATTTTATTTTGTTGTCTGTTGTATAATTTTTCAGAGATATGCATATGGCTTGTCGAGATCCATGGGTTGTATACACCATTTGTACATCTTTGATTCGTTATGTATTGCATGGACTTTATGAAGATAAAGTACCTCGTGTAAGTTTTTATTTTATTTCATAAACGACTAATGAGCTTTTTTAAATGTTTTACATGTTTTTTGTTTGCCGCAACAAACGATCTGCTACGACCGATGGGTGTAGGAGTGGGCGGCAGACTTCTTTCTTCTCAAGATGTTCTTATTTGGTCACACGCGTTCATAGTCCCTGCCAGGTGAATCCTATCGACTGCCTTAACGCGGGGCGGCAGGAGTATTCACTGACAAAAGTGAAAGAGTGATTCTGAATGTCTGACGTTTACAACTGAGTTGTTGGATATGCCGGTCTACCTAGGGACGGGAGTTGGAGAACCTTACACACCAGACCTTCAGTGAACGTAGGCTCCAGAAGCCGACGGAAACGAATAACGTATGGACGTGTTTTGGTCACCGGAAACCATTGGAACGCTGCTACAACTGCTTCGGTGGCGTAGTGGTTAGGACGCTCGCCAACCATGCGCATGGTGCGGGATTCGATCTTCGGCCGACGCACTCTTTTACCTCGCTAAGCCAGTAATAAAGCAGGTAAAGAGGAAAGGTTGGACATGAGGCTAGCAACCCCATCCTGTAAAAATAAACACTGCTACAAAAACTTCAAGCAATAAAAACTTCAAGGAATAAAAAAAATTTACTGGACAATTGCAGAAGCAAAACAAAAAATAATATCATGGAGTATGCGTAATCAGGATTGATAATGGCAGATTTTTGGTATTAGCAATGGCAGCAAAGTCAGAAATCTACAAAAAGTGTAAAATAATGATCATAATGTTAATAGCTAAATTCATAATTTGATCGGAATAATGTCACCATAGATTACAAATAGAAAAGAATAAAAGATAATAACATAGTAAGTAGTTGGGTTTCAAGCCTTACATTATCTCTATCACATAGAACGCCGGCCAAATAGATTGTGGTTGAGTTTCTGTACATAGTTGTACGAGCAAATAATCTTACTTACTTGATAAAATGCAGTGCAGGGAGAGTTGTGAATAGAGAAGGTGGTGTGAGTCAGACATTATGGATTTAAGTGTTGGTTTGTTAGGATTTGATTGGTTACAGGACTTCATCTTGAGCTGACATTAGTTAGAGAACCAATTAAAAACCTGGGAGTACTGGATAGCTGTTTCGTTCTAGTTTGGAACTCCTCAGCGGTACGCACCCACCGCCAGGGTTCGAACCCAGGACTTTCTGGTTACAAGGCGAGCTTGCATACCGTGGGCCATTGGATCGAGTCCCAGTGGGTGCGTACTGATGAAGAGTCCCAAACTAGGACAAAACAGCTGTCCAGTACTCCCAGGTTTTCCATTGGTTCTCTAACTAATGTCAGCTCATTATGGATTTAGTTCAATTCTCTCATGATTCTAAGTGTCTGTGGACTACAATGGTAACGAGCCACCTGAATTAATGGCACACTACCTGTCTACCCTACTCACAAATTTCAATACCCTTCAGAATATCTCACAGTTTTTTTTTTGAGTAGCCCAGGGAAGAATAAGTGGGAGCAATAAAGAACAATAGGTAAGATGGAAGAGTTAACGAACAGTGGACCTATAGGATGAGTGATTCCTTATTAACATAACTTCTGAATGTATAAGGTTAGACGGCAGAATATTTTCTTAGAAATCAACAAGACACAGGACGACCATAAAAGGTTAGGGGAAATAACTATCCCAGAGTATTTGGTGCTTGACTTAGTTTCTATTTCACTGCCCTCTATGTTACAAACACCATATGAACGAATCAGCTTGTGTAGATCATAGTTGTGCTTGTTTGGCATTTGGAGGAATTTAACGTAAGACCACTTGTCTTAGACTACTGACTGATATCCTACAAAAAGCAATTCAGTTTGGAACAGGGAAATCGGGAAGTAACTGATAACGAGACAGTCAGTTCACCAGAGTATTTAACGATGTTGGTTTCATCCAAAAGAGGTCACGTAAGTCACGTAAGAAGAAAGAAAAAGAACAGGAGAGAGAGAAGCACTTTGAGGGATCCCAGCTTCAGTAGGCAAGGCAGAGGAAGATTTGCCTTTACACACAGTATACTTCATTCTGTTAAAGAAATAAGAATGCGAAATTAGCACGAACATGTGTTGTCATCAGTGATAGAGTTATTAAAAGACAGAGCTAACCAGACAGGATGGGACTTATAAAGACTCACAGTAAACTTACCTTGGTCTTTGTGGCCACCGGTTCCAAAAATATATCGTTTCTGTGTAGCTAGCTAACTCAAGACGAAATTACCGCTTATGGAGGGTGGTTAGATGCTTATCACAACAATTACTAACAGACTTTCAAGTGAGTGAACCATTAGAAGACCAGCAGGGAGTACTGGAAAGTTGTTTTGTCCTACTTTGAGACCCACCCTCCAGGGATCGAACCAAGGACCACCTTCCTGTTGCAAGGCGACCTTGTTGACTATTTGGTCATCGAGACTCAATCCAATGGTCAATAAATTCTGGTTTCTACTGATTCGCAATATGACAGAGTCGTTAATTCGTAGCTACCATATCTACTGTCTACACAATACCTATACGCCATATTTCCATCATTTCTTTAAACGATTGATAATAAGTTATCTTCAGTTTCTCCTGATATCCACAGCTTTTGTGAGTAGTGAAACAGTATTCCTTTTTATTGTGAAGACTTTACTTAGGTTGAATCACAGGCCATATCAGCTTAACTGCAGGGAACCATCTTCCCCGACTCTTTTGTCAGTTATTTAGAGGGAAGATACTACTTCTCCTTTGTATGGAAGATGAATAAAGACTTTCTTCCTTTGTTTACAATTTGTCGCCTCGTCTCCTCTTTCTTTTTTTCATATCAACAGTTCAACTTCAAGCTGAAGCACTCCTTAATTTATGCTAAACCCCTTTAGTAAGGCAAATAAAAAGAAAAGGTTGGGTGTGACACGTGCGACTTTACCCCGTGAATAACACAATTACTAGTGAATATTCAAAGCTGAAGCTTCAAAACCCTATGTTTCACCGGACTTACTAAATTAAGTTTATTGGGATTGCATCGGCCGGGAATCAAGCTTTGGACCACATGAGTGTTTGCCGCCGAGCATCCTACCGTTAAGCCACCTACGCACATTACTATGATTATTATTATAATAACTATAAAAGATCCTCTTTTTCTTTCAGGATATACCAGAAGTTCACTTACTTGTTCATCTGTTAGTACTTGGTTTAGGCGATGATTTGGTTCCACATTCTTGCCTACAATCTTCAAAAAGTAAAGAAGCACATGGAGGTGGTAAGCGTACTGCACCACCGCCTTCATCATCGGTGTCAGCGTCTTCAGAAGATCCCGTATTAAACTGTCCAGCTAAGGCGCTTATTAATTATATTCTACCAGCTGTTGCTCAACTACAAGTTTCCACATGGAAAGCGCAAGTAGCTGAAGAAATCATAACTGCAAGTAATACTGTATGGTCAACTGGTGTAGAAGTTTCAGGTGGGGCTGTTTCAGCCTCCAGCCAACGACCATCATCATCATCATCCCATGAATCGTCAAGAGAATCAATTAATCCACCGCCTCCCCCACCATTGGTTTGGCAGAAACGTATTAAAGGTAAATTATATTATCTCTCGAACGTCTTAAGCTCTTAAAACAATTAGGCATTTAGAGGATAAATTTCGCGTGATGATATCTTCATTTCGTAGTTCCTCTACAGTCGCTTTACAACTAGCACTCTTCACAATAATAAAATAAAGTGCATGTCAATTACTCAGTTATATAAAACAAAGGTACATACTAATGACCAATCATATTTAAATAGATCAAGTAGTCAGTCCATGGGAGGTCAAGGTTGAAATCTATTGTTTTTTGTAAACATAGTTTAGGCTGTATGTGATTAATCCCCAAAGTGCTCCTATCACCTTCAATAACCAACCTTGAATTATAGTTATGTGGTGAGATGATTGTGAAACAATCATTAATTAATATTGATTTTGTGACCTGACATTAATAAATGCTTTGCAATAGATGATGATAGATTTCTATTTCTATTCAGATTCAATTGCATTGGGATTTTCTGTCTTGCTAAGATCTATCTACGTTCATTCCTTCGCATGCCCAGTGGGACATAGAACTTCTAGCTTGAACTTTGAAGTTTCAGCAGCTCCATGGTGACTTTTTTACGGGGCAGGGTTGCTAGCCGCATACGTAACTTTATTCCTTTACCGGGCCTATTACCGAGTGGCCGAGCGAGATTTAGGAATGTGTCGGCTGTGGATCTAACCCTCTACTACATGCGTGGTAGTTGGCAGGAATCCTACCACCAACGCATAAGTTCCATCCAGGGTAAGGAAAGTAATTCTTTTTACAAGTTCAAAACGCGATTAATCCTCCGATGAATATGAAACAAGTTGACTTAGTTGTGCTACGCCATTTCTGTGCCATCTTATGAATAATTACTTAAAAACATTGAAACTGAGATATTATTATCATTCATTTGAGTTCCCAGCAGGAATGATGGCTTCAACAGCATATTCCCATTTCACCTTGTCCTCTGCAGTCCAGTTTAGCTGGCCCTGCGATTGACTTTCGTCTCCTCCTCACACAATTTCTTTCGTGTCACCGTTGCACCTACATCTAAGTTATCGTTTCCTATATGCGTTTTACTTGAGTAATGGCCTGGCGCGCGATGTCAATTGCTGATCTTCTCAGTGTATGTCAGGTCAAACTCCATTTTCTTAGGAATATTTGTTGAGAAATAGACTCTTGATTGGTTCGTCCCCAGAGTTACTTGATTCTATTTCTTTCTCTACAGCCATCTGATCTTCAGTATGGAGCCAACAAAGTCAGCTGTCGCTAAAAGTCTGCAGTAGTTGGTTGGGAATGCTTTTTTCTTGATGCGTTGGCCAAGTTTGTGACTCATATGGGAAAACTGACTGGCTTAACACTGGTGCTGAATATCTAAATTTTGTTCTTTATGTTTGTGTGAGTACAGAAGATTTCCAAACTGATTTCAGAGTGATGCAGATCTGACTTGCCTTTCCGATCCTAGTTTTGAAATCTCCATCCCTTCCCACTGCCTTTAGTGGAAGCGATGGCTCTTCTTTCAGATTTCTTCCATTGATAATGATGAGTGGTTGTTATTGTTGTTGTTGTGGATTGGTTATATATTCATCACTTATATCAGGAAATGTTGTCATCACTGATTAGTGGAAAAATTTGAATATTATCACCTGCAACTTAACTATATATGATCTGTTGTCTGAGATTCAATCACATTCTGCTTGTAAATATGGTTGATCGTTCTACGGCATAACAGCCTTGTGTCTAGTAGGCTTCGTCTCTACTTCCTTGCGATTTAAATGAAGTCTGTCCGATTTTTGGTGTGTCCATCTGGTGAAATCCATGTCGCCTTGTGTACATCCTTGTGTTTGAACACACTGCCACCAATCACCAAATCATTGAAGGCGCAGAAGTCTGAGAAAAGTTCACCATTGCCGTTCACTGAAAGCTCTTTTAACTGCATTCTTCAGGTGCTGTGTTATTATTTCGCTGATGTTGTCACTGAGGAACTGCAGTTTTATGAACAGTGGTTTTTCTGGAACTGTTGCCATACTGACTCTCCTAGGTGGTGAATTGATTCATATTTTTCTCATTGAACATATCTGGATTACCATTCTTTTCGAAGTAATTCTCTAATAATCCTAAGCTCCTCATCGAGGCAGTCGTTTGAACAGATTAACTTATCTCTATGAACCAGACACTTTACCAAATTATGTTTATATTTCATAGATACAAAACTCAAAAGATGGGTGTACTGACCTGTTGTTGTAGGTTTCCTATACACACTCCTTCTTAATGTGCTATCTTCTTTCCTTGCCATGAAGACGTCTAGGAATGAGATACTGTCATTACTTTCTTTCTCTATGGTAAAGTTTATTGCTGAATGGGCATCATTAAACGTGTCAAGGATGTTCATTGCATCATTCTCGTTTTCCATCCATATACTGACAGTAGAAATCCAAGAAATCTAAGTCTCCGTTTCTCGTTATTGTTGTTGTCGTTGTTGTCATTGTCGTTTCACTCTTCCAAGATATGAACTTATTCAAATTTTTAATTCGCTTCCTGCCTACCTATCGCTGTGCAATTCAAGAAAAAATATGAAGAATAAAACGTCAAAGATTACGGAATCTTTTTTCAGGAGATTGCGTCATATGTAATGCACTGTTGATGAGGCAAATTATCCATCTGCATATTAGTGGTGAACCTAATTACTTCGAACTGTGTAAATTGCAAATTAATACATAAATTGAAGATTCATTCGATTGTATGGTCTTACCAATTCGTCCAAGGAGTTTGTCGGCAGTCAGGTATGGTTTTGAATTAAGTTAGCCTTCTCAGCTGAGTCAAATAAGCTACACTGTTGATGAGCAAAACGGGGCTGTCCCCTGATGTGTCGATCACTTTGATCTGGTCGGCTGGTTGACAGGTACTATTTGTTGATATGAGTGGTATACAACTACTCATCTCAACTAATCAGTAGTATGAAAGATTATACAGAAGATTGTGAGAACACCAGTCGATTTTTCATTTTGATTTCAAGAGGTATTATTTGTAGTTGCTAATTGGAAGATCACTTTCACAATGTGGCTTGTACTTTTAAGATTGTGCAGTAAAGGGTATCCCTCAAGAGACTTGTCGATGGTGATAATGAAGCGTCATGTGCTCAAAACTCTGAAAGAGAAATGGGAAAAATTATGTGCTTCAATAATGTCTATTTTAGGCATGGTAGAGTGATTGTGTTGTTTATCCTGAGTCTCTATCGTTACACCCTACCTTCTCTCTTTAAATAGGCTTAATATTGGCTCATAAACTAGGAAAGCTTGAAGTGTGCATCAGAAGTAGAGTTCAAACCGACGCCTACATCGTGGTTCAGAACTTGAGTCTAGCACCTCAGACTGCTCGGCCATCCGGTACTTTTCCCCAGTTCCTAGCCATGAACCCATCCACCCTCGGAGGATCGGACTCAGAACCTTCCGGTTACGATGCAAGCTCGTCGACCAATCATCCACTGGGACTGTGAGGGTGGTATGGAGGGGATCATATGTGCAGGAGGAGGAGGAGGTAAGAAGGACTTCGGCGAACAGCGTGAAGTGTGTTGTGTCTCAGCCTCATACTCTACATGGAACCTAATGGAATAATAATATCTATTCGTCCATGTTATTGTCCATTCTGTTCTTTTTTATTGCCTCACTTGTTATTTTTGTCTTCTCACTCAAATTTTATTTTAGATGCTACTCAATGTACCAGTATCACCATACCTCCTGGTTATTTAGCCCATCCAATAGGTTATCTTATTCTACAATATCACTGTCTATTTTGTTTGGAGCGTAATGAATTGGCAACACTTCGTGCATTGCTAAAACTAGTTGTAACACTAGCGCAAACACGTGGAGGTCGTACTAGTAGTAGTGGAGGTAGTAGCAGTTACAATAAGCCGACTACACCTAATCCGCCGTCGTCTTTGGCATCATCATCATCAACGGCTGCTGCTGCCACGGCACCAACAAAAGTTCATCATCCAGATATACCAGTTTATAATAAATACGGTCTATCTGTTGTGTTTCGTTGGCGTCCAGAGGTTTTACAAGTAGGTTGCTGCATTGTATTTTAATTTTAATTTTACTTGAATCCACTAAACCTTTGATGGTCCCCTTTTTTTGCTATGGATAGATATTTCTATTTAGTGGTGTTAAGCTCTGCTGTACTTGTAGATGAATGACGAATTGTGATAGGCGTAACAAAAGCCTATCGTTTGATTAGATTGAAAAAAGAGTGAAAGGTGATCAGATGAAAACCTTTCATCAGTCCAGGAAATCTTTGCTAGTTAGTTTTAGTGATGTAGGAAGGTGTAGGTGTTGCCCTGTCAGGGTCTTCCACACGCTAAGCACCAATGGCTTGAGACTATTGGAGACATGGCTCAAAATCGTTCTCAGTTGCGAGGATATATTCATTCGGTGTCATGGTCTCCTCTATCCCCTCACATTTCTGCTTATTATCTTTCTTTGAATCTTTTAACCTCTATCTTTTGTGTACATGGGTTATGGCAAGTTTTTTGTTGAAATTTAGCCAGCCAGTCAATCAGTCAGTCAGTCATACCCTCCTCTGTAATCGGTTGGGAAGTAGCTCATCACTTTATACATGTCCAAACCAAATTCACTTTTAACAGTTTGAAAAAATTTGGGCATTGGGTATATGATATTCATTTTAATAAAGGGTTTTGTATTTCCCAATGAATGAACAACAAAATGATATTGTTTTTACTGACGTTTCGCTATTTAATGCCACTAATAGCTTTATCAAAGTATTATTAAACCGGAATTTACAAAATCTCAGCATATATATAACAAAGGGTTAAGGGGTGAGAAAATAGACTTAGGTCAAGTTGAAGGGACATATTCAAAGTCAAAATAACAATGAAGATCACTAAACCAAATAAGAAAGGTAATAGTACATCTGTTATGATATCAGAACAAAGTTTACTAACTTGGTCATCGTTCGTCAGTCTGAGGTCATTTTTCCTTGTCAAGTTGGTCAATTGGTACAGATAAAAAAACGAAGTGAAGATTGTTGGATTTGATCAGTGTGTCGAATTATGCAAGCAGTGTGTTTACATAGTGAACTTGCATATCACATTCGTGTTGAATTTGTCACTTCATGGGGGAGGGAGGTGTTTTAGTCCACCATTTCTATTGAGACAATTTGGATTCCTCTTGATATGAAGTGCTTCTGATATTAGACGTTCTTTGTGATTCCTGAAGTTTTTCTGGATTATTTCAGTACTGTCAAAATGAATTTTGTGGCCTGATTCTATAGTGTGTAGACAAGCTATGACTGATGATTTTTCAAGTTTTTCCAGTTCATTTGGATTTCTCGGTGGTCGAAGAGATGCTCTGCAGTGTTCATTTCTTCTGATTTTGATTTCTCCCTAGTGATATTTGTCCGATGTATATCGCATCACATTCCAAGCACTTTATTTTATAGACACAATTAGATAGAGAATCTTTAGGGATTCGGTCTTTTATATGGACAAGGTTGCTTTGAAGTGTGTCTGATGTTTTGAAGAAAACTCTAATGTCGAACTGATTGAGTACTCTTCTGATATCGTTTGACGTCTCTGCTCTATATGGAATGACGACTGTTGAGGTCCATGTTTTCGGAATGCGTTTCCGGCCATACTTAATGTCTATATTGATTTTGTTAATGAAGTTCTTCGGGTATTTGTTTTGCTTGAGAGTTTCAGTAATCTTTGATATTTCTCCTTCTTTTTCTTTCTCATCCGTTATCAGAGAGTGTGCTAATCACTTCAAAAGAAAATTGGTTTAATACTTCACATTGATTTCTTATATTTTTGACAAAAGAATCTACATGTGTTTTTACACTTAATAACTATTAGCTCTACGTCATATGCCTTTTGTTTTTCTAGGCTCTAGTGTTGGGAATTTCTCGTCTACCTCAATCTGCTCCTGCTTTTGTTGACAGCAATAGAAATACTCATGTAACTGAAGGTTCTGTTGAATCTTCTTTAGCCGACGGGACTGGGCAATCTGATTCAGATAATAATTCTAGCACTAATACATCCTCGACTTTAAATCGTAGTAGTTCAATTGTATCTAATGTTTTGTCAGGTAGTGATTTGAGCAGTAATATAACAGCCGGCTTTAATACTAGTAGTTTAACGTCGAATTCTCAGAGTTCTACTGCTGAGTCGCATTCTACAACTCCTACAGGCTCAATAGTTACTCGTGTTAGTTTAGCTGGCCTACTTAGATCTAGTTTACCCTTAAATAATGATGTACAATTGTTAGCTCTTGCACAGATCGCCTTACTTGTGCCTGGGCCAACTAGTAGTAGTAGCAGTAGCAGTAGTAGTAGTGGGATAGTAGGTGCTGGCGCATCCAGTATTCCAGGTGGTGCTTCAACATATCCTTCTTCATCTTCTGACAATGTGACAAGTGAATTAGCCTCACCAGCTCCGGTTGTTTTAAGTGAACGTGAAAAAATTGTGAATACGTTGGCAAGACATTGTATTTTAACACCGACCGGTACAGCAGCAGCAACAACAACAACAACAGCAGTCAATGATTTAAATTTATTATTTGAATCAACTGGATCACAAGCGGGTGGTGGTAGTTCAGCAAGTGGTGGTGCAAGTGGAAGTTATAAATCAACAAATCCAAGAGTTCTAGCCGCTTTAGATGCCCTACGCAAAGATATTGAACGATGTCATGTAAGTTGTGTTAAATGTGCCTTTTTTTAACTGTTTAATGTTGTTGTTTGTTTAGCTTCGTCATGCTGATCCCTTTGCTTCAAGCTTGAGCTGTGAAGTTTCACTAGCTATGGTTTTGTATGTTTGAAGAAATTCGGAGCCCTAGTAGCTCAGCCGGTTGGTGCACCAGGCTCATAATCTGAAAGTTGTGAGTTCGAGTCTCACCTGGGACATGGTTTGCTCCCATAAGTGATGAGTAGTGACCTGAATCTCTTCTTGAAATGCTGCCAAATATGGTCAAGCATTCGTAGCCACTATCAGGAAAGTCCTACTCACTGCCTTCATGCCTCGTGTTAGAGGTGTTCCTCGCAAAAGTGAGTGAGAAGGCGAATGTTAACGTCTGGCGAATACAATCGGACTAGTGGATGGGTATACAAGTCTAGCTAGTGGAGAGTGGGAGTTGCAAAACCATGAATATGAGCTACAGAATCCGATAAGATGAAATAACGTATGTACCTGTTTCGGTCACCGGGAACCGTGGCAGTGTAGCTACACTGACGCTGTTCCACTTCCTTCTGGGTCAGACTTGAAGGTAAAGTCTTGTAGGCGGTCTCTTGAGATAACCGTTCACTTTAGTGTAGACGTCCGAGGAGTATCGCGGCCGTTGCATGGTGCCCACAATGCGCGAAGTTTTTATTTTTATACTGATAATAAATACATTTACATGGTTGGGGTTGCTAGCGTCGCACTCAAACATTTTTCTTTAGTAGTCTCACTACCGATTAGCTAAGCAAACTGCAGGTGTTCATCCGTCGGTCGAAAGTTTAACACGTACCCGGATCGCGCCTTGACTGTCTCTTTCTCTCATGTGAAGATTAGACTTTGTATCAAGGTGAAGAATTGGTTACCACACTGGCCTTCAACTATGATTATTATCCAATATCGCCTGACACTTAAAAGATAAGATATGCTCAGTTCATCTAGAAGGGGAAGTTACAAGTTAGTTATCAATGAGATTAAAGCATGTTAAAGCATGGGCTTGGTTAACCTTGGAGGTCAGCATTTTTGGGTGTTATTTTAACTCATATGGTCCGGAGTTCAAATCCCCGCCATCGCCCACCTAAAGTCCACATAGTTCATTATTCAGTAGGTAGTAAGTATACAAAACTGGAGAAGTTAGACGAGAAGATAGCAACGTCATCTGCCATCTAAAGAATATTACTGCTAATAAAACTTCAGAGCTCATGTTTGTAGCCGTCTGTGTTCCACTTTGAATGCGAATGAATAAAAAAAGACTGACAAACTATTGTCTCATCCAGTGAACTGTCAACTCTGTGTGAGTTAGTCAGTTTTCTATCAATTAATGGTGATCAAAACAAGTTGATTCGGCGCGAGCAGTTGTTTTCGATGAATTCTTCCTCCTCAGGCTTTACAGTTATACATCCATGAATATCTACGGCTTAATATGTCACTGCATTGACATGTTAAGTCGTAAATTGATCAGATCAGTTGAAAGAACTTTCAATGCTGCAGAACTACACACCACTTTCTCAACCCCAGACCGTTAATGACACAATGCACTAAAGGTGGCCACATCAATGAGTGTATATGAATTCAAGTGCTCATGTGGAGCTAGCTGTATAGGTAGAACTCGGGGGAATTTACTTTTTTGTGCTCGTGGACATGTTCCTGTTAGGCTTGGAGAAAGTGTCACGAAATCAATAAATAGTGGTATTTTGTCTCATCTAATAGATGGTGAACACTACATCAAAATAGATGAGTCATTTGCGGCTGTATATCGAGTACCAATGTATCTGCCCTGAAGGCACACGACTACGTCTTTTAGCTATAGCGGAAGTTATAGAGATTAATAAGAATGAACCTGACCTGTGTGTGCAAAAGAATCACATTCTTCCTCTTTGTTTACCCTGGTCCACTATAAGATCAGCAGGGACATAATCATCCATATATTCATGTCATATTATGCTTTCTTATTCCTTCCCACCTGATTCACTTTACTCTGTTATTACCCTTATTATTTGTCAATCTTTTGTAGTTTACAATAATTCAATTAATGATCCCCATTGAGACATGAAAGAATTCTCTTTTCGACGATTTCACTTTCATGGCTGTACAGCCAATAACAATCAGTTCTCTAGTGTATTTGTGTGTTTGTGTGTGTTAAAGTTTGACAGTGAGTGGAGATACTTAAAGTGCTATAATAATAATATTTGTGTATAGGATTATGAGTCACAGTTGATTAGTTTATTTATTTATTTAAACGCAGAAAAACTTGGTACAATATGGCACCAAGAAAGATGCGCCACACAATATTGTGTGAGGGCTGAGAGACTGCCCGGGCGCCCAGACCGAAGCAGGTGGTTTTCCTAAGGGACCACCCCCCGAGCCTTTGACTTGGAGTCTAATCCGCAAGGCAGCGGAGCAGCGTCAGGAGCTGCGTTCCAATGGTTTCCGGTGACCCATGTGGGTTCATACGCCATTTGATCCGATTGGATTCTGGAGCCCATGTACCCCATGGTAACTGCTTTTAGTCTAATCGCTATCCAAACAACCTTCCTGACATGGTAGGACCTGCAGGGACATGAGTCCCAGCCAGTTTAGCTTGTTGGGTCACTGCGGCATTCAAGCCCGACCACCACGGCAAAGTAGCAGTTATCGGGCGGGACAGTTGATTAGATATATGAATGAATAACTAAATAAATAAATAGACGTCGACCTAAACTTCAGTAGACGACATATGTGAAACAGATGATCGAAAAAGGTTTTGTACTCAGTCGACATAGAATCTTTGTTCACAAATGTTCCACTTCGTGAAACTGTTGATTTCACTTGCGATTATATCACAAGCAATGGGATACAATTACCTGTTCCTGTTACTTACATGTTCAGGAAACATCAGATTCACTTTCCAAGAATGAGCATACAAACAAATCGATGCTGTTGCGATGGACAGGCCTTCTTGATCTTCTGTTGGCAGATATATTCATATCTAAATTGGAGAAGCAAGGTATGCTAGGAAAATTTATGCTATATAAACATTATGTAGATGATCCTATCATTATTGGTAATAATACTAAGTCTGTTGGTAACTTTGTTACTACTGTATTTAATCATATTCATCCAAACATCCGAGTGACTTCCGAATTTGAATCGAATAACAAACTCAGTTTCTGGGATATTTCAATGATTAGGAACGATTAAGCCATCTGTATTTTGTAAGCAGACATAGAGTGGAAAACACCTTCACTTTGCCAGTTTTGTTCCTATCCAGTATAAACTTTCACTAATGAAATGTTTGTTTTCAAGTGCCCCTAAAAGACGCACGAGTAACACAATGATGGATGAGCTTCGACATATACATTCAGTTTTATTAGCTAATTGTTACAGTAAGGGAAGACTGCATGTTGAAAAAAAGACAGCTTCTGTACCAAAGAAAGCTATCTTTATCAACCTACCGTTCAAGGGTGATCAAATTATGCAGTTGACAGCTCGAAGACTGGTTAGTCATCAAGAGTTCATTGTACACCGCACCTCTTTTCCTAACATCTCCAACATTTTCGATCCGTGTACCTACACGATTAAAGGACGAAAGACTCTACTTCAGACTGTATCTACAAGTTCACCTGCAGTTGCGGTGAACCAATAGAATGTTTCAATGTCATCGTAAAGAACATGTTCCGAAATGGTGATTAAGATACATGGAAAGTCCCAGCGCAGTTAATCTGAGTAGAAATCCAGCATTATCCATTGCAAATCACTTTTTAATGTCTGGTCACAAAATTAATGACTGCTTCACAATTAATTCACATGACTCTAATTCAAGGTTGGTTATTGAAGGTGATGGGAGCAGTTTGGGGATTAATCACATACAGCCTAAACTATGTGTACAAAAACAATAGACTTCAACCTTGGCCTCCCATGAACTGACTACTTGACCTATTTAAATATGATTGTTTTATATAACTGAGTAATTGTCATGCATTTTATTTTATTATTGTGAACCATGTTAGTTGTAAAGTGATTGTAGAGAAACTACGAAATGATGATATCATCTCGTGATCTATTTATTTGATTTTACGAGTTTGGCCACAGACTGATATCAGTTAGAGAACCATTGAAAACCAGGTTGGAGTACTGGACAGCTGTTTCATCCTGTCGTTTTCTAATTGATGTCAATCTGTGGTCAAACTCGTAAAAAGCAAATCTAATCCTTACAAACCAACTCTATCTATTTAGTTATTCATCCATATATCTATAATCAATTGTGACTCATAATCCTATACACCAGTATATTACAGCACTGTAGTATTTCCACTCCCCGTCGAACTTTAGCACACACACACATGAGAGAACTGATTATTTTGTGTATTGTTATTCATATATATTTGTGCTAGGGTTATTATGTCTCTTCCATATTAGTTTGTTTATCAGATGTATCACATAGTGAAACAGTATTATTTACTGGATGACGTTTCGAACAAAATTTATTACTGTTCATAATCATATCAATTGTGATCACACGACTTTGACACTTAAGTTTTATAGTTTTCTTTGTCCTCTCCTATTTGTCGTTAGGGTAGTAGAATTTTCCAGATATCCTCCTGGACAGGTGTTGAATCATTCCTATTACATGTTGTAGTGTTTATGAGTTAATCAAACATTCACCGATCAAGTGAGAATACTGAGGGCCCGCAATAAAGGCTTTATTCGTTTTATAATTCCAGTATAGGATCTGGTTTAAACAAAAATGAAAGATGTGAATAGTGTATAATATAAATGCTAAACGTTTATGAAAATGTTCACACCACATTCTTCTCCCCTTTTGTTTGAGAATACAGAGCATAAGGAGTCAAGACTTTTAAAACTGTTTAGACTTCGCGGCTTCTCAGATTGTATGGACGAACCCTTCGTTGTTTCTCTAGTAAAGAAGATGGGTTCGGATCAATTTTGATATTTTCACTTAAATTGTCCGTCAAAATAGGAGTTTCAGTATCTGTAGA